TGTCCCTGTCATTGAAGTTGCTTGGACTGAATCACGAACGATATCAGACGATAACAAATCACAAATTCCGTAGTTATGCAGTTCTTCAAATGCCATGATGATTCATTTACCTTCTGTCCGAACATAACGGTCAGGATTCGGTCTGCGGCCCTAATTCCTGGACCCTAATTCTAGACACTTTCCAGAGACGTTTGACCTACAATGATCTTCCCCGGTTGACTTACGTATGGCAAGTCTTGGTCTGGTTTGATACCGATAGATTACGTTAGACTGATTCTTATATTTCATCTGTAAAGTTATAAACCATAAAACGTCGAAATGGAGAGACGCTTTTTGGTAAAGAAGTAAGGATCGAGCAAAGTTTGTAATGGCTCAGATTTACGTTTATGTCCTGAGAGACTGAATAAAACCATAAACATCTCTTAATCAGCTGCTTCACGAATAAAATTATATAGAGTTACCTGCTTAGTGCATTTGAATACATCAGGTTAGGTTAGTCGGACATAGGTTATGTAATTTTATTCAGCATTACTTTTAGTGAATACCTTCACTTCTGCCTTGCAATGGCCTTAACACGTAAAACGTTTGCAGAAGACAAGACAAGGACAATGAATTTTGGTGACGAAACCTCTTAAAAATCAGTCACCCGAATATTTAATATTCTAGTTACAGTAATATTTAATTATTTGTTTATAGTGTTTAAGAAATCATTTAGTAGATCCTAAAAATACTATGAAATTCAATCATAACCAAATGAAAGATCACATACAAGAACGTAATGAAACAATTATATATTTTATTTTATTTCTAAATCTTCCACTTCTTTGATAGTTTACAAATGAGTTATACAAAGGTATAAAAATGTAATTTTAATAAAGTTGTCCGTTCTTCCCGAAATATAATTTATCTTCTCGATAAAAAATGTTAACCATTTATGTATTTCATTCGCCTTGTCATGTGACTATATCTTGGTTGCAGGGTAACAAACTTTTCGAGTATTAATAATTGTGCGACATACATGCGTATTGTTGCCATTGGCATCCTGTGTGTACCGTTCCATTAATCACTATGCTGGTACAGCAGGACTCCCTAATTAGCCGTTGTGTCGTAATGTCGAGTGTTTCAGCTCAACTGCTATTTACCCTACCTCCCCCCTCTTTATATTCGCTACTGCCCAATCTGCTATCAGCATCACCACCGTGCACCAGCATGTGCGTGCAGAACGGACACAAGTGACGTTTAACTGACATGCGAACGTCACAGGGCCCGCGATCCAGTTAGCAAGTCACGAAATAACTCCAGGGAGGATAATCCTTCATAATTAAATTTCTCGTCTTTTTTAGTACACAGAATGAAATTACAGTTTCCACAGGAGTCTTACACGGGTCCTATCACCAGTCGAATGGGTTCAGTTCACATCTTCTGATCTTATTTATTACGCATATTTTAATATTATCCCAAACTCAACTCAAGTCTCTCAAGTGGTCACTTCCCATCAGGTTTCCCCGATTAAAACTTTGTATGTATTTCATATATCTCCCATGTGTGCCAAATGCCGTGAGTTCTAAGCTGTAGCATAAGTTATTTCACTGAGATAAAATTTCGTGAACCCTGTACCGCTTCACTTAACTCAATTAAAGATGATATTAAAGTGTTTTATGAAAGGAAAAATACAGATTTATATAGCCAAAAAATCTTGAGGCAAATATCACGATACAAAATGGAACACGGTAGGATAACATTACAATTATGGATAAATGTAGCTGATGAAAAAATTACCTATTTGAGAAATACTACTTACGTTCAATTTCTTAACATAAATGGATGTATTAATTTCAAATTAGCCTAATTACACAAAAATTATCTGGCTCAAATTAAGAACTAGATATTTATAGACACGTGAGTACATTATTTAAAAATACATTTAAATTATATTATTTATTTTATTATTTTGTTTTACTGAACTCAACAGGAACGAAATAATTGTCTCATTTGAAACAGATGACAGTCGAATTAGGCCTACGAAAAGTACACATACGTAATCAAAGAGTACATAAACAGAATCTGTAGCAAAAATTAAAATCTCTATGTTCACAGCACAGAAGAAAATTGTAGATTTAAGTACCCACACCGAGGTTTTGTGTCTTGATGTTAAAACGTTGTGTTCTTTCACGCGATGAATAATATTCAACGAGGGTGGAGAAAATTACATGAGGAGGGGCTTCATAATCTATATTCAGTGACGGGATCTTGTGGACACGACTATGAACCTTCTGGCTACATAAATCCGGAAAATTTCTTGGCCAGCTAAGAGACTTCTAGCTTCTTATGAAGCAGAGCAGATACCAAATACCACACATAGGCCCATCAGTAAGAAATAAACATCTAATCACCACGCAATTAAGACGTGTATTTCAATTCTAAATGATTTTGACGACGGTAGTTTACACTTAAAATTATTCATTATCAGGACTTTTTCCATCGTCTGTTCTTTACAACCACGACGTTTCGGAGGCTGGTTCTGCCTCCGTCAGACGATGGAAAAAGTCCTGACAATGAATAATTTTAAGTGTAAGACGTGTATGTTACTAAATGTGTAAGTACACTTGGACACTAGATGGATATAAGAGGTTAGTTTCACGTTCCGGCTGCTTTATCTTCATGTAAAGAATTTGTATACGAGGCCCCGAAAAGAGTTTAGCAAAATCGTCCGTCACTTGATCCATTTTTGTTCTAAACTATAACCATGACTGTGTACGAAAGCGTTGGTTCAATTCATTATGCCATCTATGACACAAGCTGGAACTATACGCTTTATAATTGCGCTGATTTGAGTAAAGAGGGGTGAGGTGAGGGGTAGGGTGATATGACGATATAGAGAATGCGGGATGTGGGGGGGAGGGGGGGATAAATATCCAACTATACGTGACGTGTGCCTAACGCTGGCCCCCAAACGTTGGAAGGGTATTTATCCCCCACTCACTCACCCCAGTGGCATTACATACACTCGCGCGCAAGCTGTTTATTTCTCCATAGGTTGCGCATGTATGTTCCCAGTAGACATATTATTACATTTCCCTCAATATGTACAATGCACTGAAATCAACTGGACCGTTACATTGTCTAATCGACCCGCGGGAATTTCCAGAGTCTGCACAATGCATTGCATACAGCCCAGTTTGAAACACATTCTTTTTATCCGCTGATTAAAACACAGATGAATTAATTGTTTTAATTATACTGATTAACAAACACTGCACAAAAACCGATTCTGATTTTTTTATTATTCGAAAATTCGTATTTGTCGCTGACTTTTAAATAACACAAAATTAATATTTACCAGCGGAAAAGACTCCATGAACCTCAAGATTTATTTCATAAACAGTACCAAATCCCAAATCATCGTAATTACAGTTAAAACCTCAAATCTCGCAACTAACAAAATTATTAACTAACCTCAGTTACTGCAGATTCTTAACCCGACATTAGATAGCCAATTAGCAGCCCAGAACCCTGTCAGAGATGCCACAGAATCGAGTGAATAAACCCGATACTGACAAGCGGTTGCAATCTTAAATATGGCTGTACTCTGGTATGTAGCGGCGTGAAGTTTGACAGAACTTTATCGAAGTCTAAGAGGTTAGTTGCTGCTTCATTAATCAGGGTGATATGTAAGCAGCAAGTATCTCTAAAACGTCGGTAAACATCTACCAGACTACACGGCTCCAACACCTAGAACATATCCATCTTCATAATCGCCACCGTGAGAATTATTTATTTAGTGTTCTGTCTGACGACAGGTCCATATGAACAGGATCCTTCCATCCTTTTCTCGGACTGGGACCTGTTCATATACGTTCTTGGCAGATGATCCAGAAGTGGTTTGCCATTGCCTTCTTCTGTGTGTTAATGGAGTAATTGTTGGGATGCCACGGAGAAACCGGGGAAGCCCCCGGAGGAAAACTACGTGTTGCCTAGACCACGGCCTTGCCAAACACAAGTTATAAATTCGGGCACCGCCGGGAATCGAACCCGAGACCCCAGGATTACACGGCCAGCGTTCTAACCGCTAGACCACCGTGGCTGTACCGTGAGAATATATGATGTTAAATTTTAATCCTATTTCAAATTCTCAAAACTTAGTATCAAAAGGTAGATCTTCTTCAGTAACAATTGGCCTGAAAGGTGATGGCTCTCAACGAGTTTTGCTATCATAATTTTGTAAGCATTTATTTCATCATATCAAAAGCCACTCCTTATCTGCCTATTCGAATTATTAACCTTTCTAGGTGAAGAATGTTGACGAATCTCCAGGTTGTGTAATTTTCAATATTTTATTGTTAGTTAATCCGTCTTAGGTCCAAATATTGTCTACTTCTTACAAAAGACGCGGGACTACTAGAATTTAAGAAATTCTGACAGAAGAAACAGTCGAAGTCATGATTTATCTCGGCAGATATTTCTTTGTCTCTATTGAATAAAGTTAAGAATTGCGAAAGCCATGGGGGTCAACCACATGTGAAGGACGGACAGCTAGTTGGTCTGCAAGTTTACAAGTTAGGAAACTGAAAATTATGGGGGACAGCTCCTGCCGCCTCTTCTAAATTGGATGCAAAAGTGTCAGTGAATGGCTTCGTTTTCAGCGAGGTTAACGAATCGTACTGATGCCCGTAACAAGCTCGTCAAAGCCCTACCCCTCTCACCCGACCAATCCCGCAAGCTCGTTACGTCTTCCTATGCAGCCCAGAAGGATGCTCTGAAAAGATCTCTGGCAATGCGGCACAGAAATCCTTTCTGCTAGAAGTATCAAGTTCGTGTCTCTATTCTTTAATTTGTAAGTTTCTTTTCAGATAGAAAAAAAGGCATAGGGCGATGTCCAATTAATAATATTTTTGTAAATATCATTATGCATTCTTTACAACAAGTGCATAACGACATCTCATTATGGTCTGATCGATCAGTTCTGTTCACCATTCTAATATACGTTTTCCCTTTTGCAGGTCACAGTATATAAACAAGTCATTTACAGATAGAGTAAATGTGCTCATCACGTAACCAACTAATTGTACCACAATTCCTGCATACTACGCGCCTGCAGATCATTGTCTCGATTGACCCGTCATACAGATGTGTAGGAGAAGTTGCCGCGGTCGCACGGCGCACTGCAAAGTACTGACGCCGCAACCATTATTCTATCTTCAGATGCCACGAACTTGTTTCCAAAAATTACGGTGTGGCGAGGGAGTGAGTGGTATTATTTCATATGTATTCTGCATGTAAAACAAGGTAACGTTGCCCCGATGTTTACGTGTAGGTACCACGCTTTGAAGACGTATGAGGTAGTGTATCGACAGTTTCACATATTCAACGTGAGTACTAGATACGTAAATTGTCAGCCTATCAACCAAGTCCCTTTATCCTTGGGCAGAGAATAGCTTGTGTCCATTGGACAGAATGCTGTGTGGGACAAAAATATAAGTGGAATTCATGTATGTATATGTCTGTCTAGAGAAAATTGGGAAGGATAATGACTGAAGGTGGCTGTTTTCTGTGATGTTGCATTGTGTACTCTGTTGAAATTTACCGACGTTTCAGAGGTGCTTATTACCTCAATCATCAGTGATTACAAATACATACTACAAATATAACCATCAGTATCTGTCTGTCTCTACCTAGCACATTCTGTTTGAAAATGAATTAGTTCTACCTGACTTCATGGCACAACCCAGAAGACAGCCATATACAACATCGTTGCAGGAAGAACCTGAAATCTCATTTAATTCAAATCTACATTTGTTTATAATTAGAGACTTATCAACTTCATTTGTCATACATACACTGTCAAATGAGAAACAATATGATAACTGGGTAAAAACGTGGAACATATCAATTGTAACGTATTTTAATGATTTAACTTTTCCAGAAGAAGCAATTAAAAGTCACCAAACATCTACGAGGATAGTTGGTACATTAACACAGAACTAGGTACTTCTCGAAAGCGAAGCAGAACACTACTTTATGGCTCTCCACATTCTTAGTTTTTTTAATTTTGACTCTAATATTCTGGAAACTTCATCAGATGTAAAGAAAGTAATAATGGTCTGACACACAACATCACTTGAAGTTTAATTAAGCAATTAAAACTTTTAAAATAGCTGAAAGTTAAATTAATGAAGACAATTAATTAAGGTTAATTATAAACATGAAATACTTCAGACGCTGATATGGTATAGAACAGTTGAAAGTATAATTATAAGGTGTCTCTACAAAGGTGTTTCTATTTAGCAGTTTTTATTTCTGATGTTAAAATCGACTGACCTATTTTAAGTTTAAATTTCATGGCAAAAAATGTGACGCTCGCAGATAATTCCAGGATAATCCTGCATTTATAAACAGAACAAGGATAATGCATCTGTGCCATCTGGTAATATAGAAACTGAAAAGTTTGAGACATTTGATTCTAGAATGAGCTGGGTAATAATAGATTTAAGGCATTTCTCAAACAAAATTTGAGTTAATTATCTGCTATCTTAATGCCTAAACGAAGCTGAATAATAGATCTGTTCACTCAAGTGCTCATAAAAAGGCAACCAATTTATTTGCACAAGCAAAAACGCGCTCCGTTCCTCATTACACTTCGGAAGTCGTGGATTTTCATTTCAAAAGCGGAGTCTTGCGTGCACCAGCATTTGTAAACAAAGCTTAGTTTGAACACACACGACGATTTCTAAATCTTTTTATACTTTTGGATTTCATACTACAAACATCGTAACTAACAAGTCATATGTCCTCAGTCTCATCCCTACCAGCTAATAATGAAAAATCAGGGAAACGGATGATAACCACAACTCATTATACTTATCCATTTATCTTCCACTAACAACCAATATTAATTTAAACCCGTTATTCGACCTTAAGAAGAATTTTGATCAGTCAATAAGTAACATTTAACGCAAAAGCGTCGTTTAATGACAAATACATTTAAAGTACTTCGCCTTGTTATTACACAATTTTAATTTCAGTACCAAAATAAATTACTTGTCCAAGTTTACCAGTGTAAATATTTTCAGAATATAACGAACACTAACAATGACTGTGTGGGAAATACATAGATTTTTCGTTGCGTGAGGTTTTCTAGAAGCTAAAGTACTTTCTACACTAAAGTTTCACCATTTAAGACTGAGAATTATTGTGATGCAGCAGTTGAGGATATCGAATAATTGTGATGCAGCAGTTGAGGATATCGAATAATAATTGTGATGCGCAGTTGAGGATATCGAATAATTGTGATGCGGCAGTTAAGGAGATCGAATAATTGTGATGCAGCAGTTAAGGAGATCAAATGAAGCACAGGATGTAGGAGAGAGAAGGAATAATCAGCGACAATAGCACTCAATCAAGCCGAGCATACAGCGTTGGCTCCTAATCCGGTCAGCCCCTAGTACACATCACAGCCTCCGGATACTGTATTTCGTCTCCTGAATACGTAGGCACACATATACCAAGTGTTCAGCTAACTTGAGTGTTGAATCGTTTGCATAACAGACCTATTCAAAGCTGTCTTTACTGCGTACAGCAGTTTTGAGGTGAAGTGAAAACTGATCAATCTTTGTTATTTTATACTGTTTGACAGTGGATTGGGCTTTTATGTTAAATTATTTAACGACGCTGTGTAAACAAGCCCGTTAAAATAACATCGAATAAAATGGTAAAAGATAATTCCCGATAAGTGGTTATGGATTTGTGAAACAGGCTAACACAGCCTATTTCGAGATACTATTCTGGATTTACATGAAGAGACGGAGAGCAGAATAGACAATGAATCTATTGAATATAAATTTAGTCTTTCAGTTAGAATCAAACTCAAAACATAACGGATATTTTTAACAGTGATGAATCTGAAATTATAGGGAAATAAAATAAGATCTGATTTTTTTATTGTAATATTATTTAACCTCGTAAGATTTTAGGTTCTTACAAAGGCAAGTATGATCACCGTCTTCTGAAATGTTGCGACGAGAAGTGTTATAAAAGTTTAACGACGTTTCAGAGGTGCTTACTGCCTGAATAATCAAGGCATTGATGAAGCAGCAACCATCTCTGAAACGTCGACAAACTTCTTGTAGATTATACGGCGCAACATTCGATTAGACTACTGACTCTTGAATGACAGTCGATTTATCGACATGTCAAACTGTTAGTCCAAAGAGGTTAGCTTTCAAATAATGGGTATCTGCTTCAAGCCTTGACAAGAGACAGGTTATGTAACCATGACTCACGTGTTTACATTCCGTAATTTGACAACGCTTTTGAAACGAAGACCCTTTCAACCATAACTAAAGAGGTAACAATCAAGAAAATAAAATATTCCCTTTCAGTAACTCAGTATCTTGAGACAGAGTCTTTATTTTTGTATCACTCTCAGAAAAAACTAACTCCATGGAACAGAGGACTTATTGAGATTTTAACAGTCGCCCAATTTGTCAAGAAATTTCCACCCGCCTTGATTCCTAGTCAAAGCCACACAAATCCAGACTACACCCTAGCATTTATTTTAAAGTCCTTTTTAATATTATACTCCCATCTAAGCCTTGTATTTTAAGTGATCTCCTCTCTTCGGGTTTCCTGACAAAAACTGTGTGTGCAATTCTTTTATCATGTCATCTCCATAATATATGTCTCACCCCTCGCATTCACATTTATGTGATTTCCCTAAAAATATTATATGCTAAAGTTTACAAATTTTGGAATTAATAATATTTAGGTTTTCTCCAATGTAATGTTACGTATTTCCTGTTAGATATGTAATTCTCCACAGGCCTCCGTTCTCCAATATTAACAACATACTCTACAGGAAGGTTATTTTGCTGGCCATTTGAGTGACGAACGGGGAGCAGGTTCGGAATGGAAGGTGTCTGTACGAGTCTTATAGAAAACATTTGCTCCGCTCCGCTTCTACGACCACTTGTTCACAGCGCCGCGTGAGGTGACACACACCAGAAATGGCTGACACCAGCACAAGTTTTTTTGTTGAACAAAGTAATTCACAGTAGTGAGATCATTAAAAAAATGTATAATCTACAGATGTTTTCTGAACAGTCAGTAGAACGCCTGCTCGCGCGACCTTGATTTGGCTGAGCACATCAAGTGGCAACAAGTAAGGTAACTCTCAAGATAACTTGCGCGCATAGGAAGTAAGATTTTTTCCCCCTTAATGCGAAAGATCAAGATAAAAAATAAATATTCTTATTTAACAAGTTCCCTTACACCATTCACACGTATTATTATCACATTTCTTTCTGTGTCAAAGGACATCGTTATATAACAAAGGACTCACTCGGTGAATTTATATTTCTATTTAATGTCCTAATTAATTTGTCTAGAAACCTAATAGACTATTAATGGATAATGTGTATGTCTATGAAATTTCGATTAGTCAAATACTGGGAATTATCTAACGTTTCTCCTTTAAGCACAGAATGTGACAAGATTAAAATATTTGGAACAGAGAGTAGAAATCGATATTAAGTTTACGATGAAAACGAGAGTAAATTTTTTTGCTAATTATATTCATAATAAATAATAAATACAAGTGTTACTCCTTCCAGGTATGTTGCTGAAAACACCGCGGTTCAAGTGATACATTTTCAAATATGAATGAAGTTAAATATGCATGTTTTAGCCCCGTATAAAACGTACCAGTTTTGTGGGCTGAATCACCATGGGCAATTTATAGTTCTTGCTGTATCAAAACCCAGTAGACTAACGCATGGGGTATGGTGTACCAGATGTGGTAAAACAATTTGCAGTGTATGCTTTGTGGATTTCGAGAGATCTAATTAGGTATTTTGGTAGGCTTGTGGTCTGCCCACTTTTCTGGGACACAAATCTGACAACTCTATGAGCTAATAAATGTATGAATAAAACCAAGCTGTTTATGTATTCAAGTAAACCTTTTACAAGACCACACCATTTACGTCAAGTTAGAACATAACATAGACATGTTTACGTTTTATCTTTGTTTAACAACGTTGTATCAACTGAACTGAGATAACTATCAATAGAAATGCTTATTGCGTTCTGGATGACCGGGGTTTGAATCCCAATAAAAGACAGACAGGCTATGGGACCTACGCATTCTCGTGAAATTGAAATTAGGGCATTATTTTTGCTGAGTTAAAGCTGCTGCAACGTCGAACTGAAAACTTATCTGCATCATGAAGCAATGATATTTCTTGATATTTTATGTTTACAGTGTTACGATATCATTAAAATTTCAACGGAAAAAATAATTCAGTTTATTTTAGAAACAAACTTGCCTCGGACAAAAATTTTGATCCGACAAAGAACAGCTCAACATCTGATATGATGGGTTGTTGTCAAAGGCCAGCAAAGTAGTATAGCGCGATTCAAAGTAAGAAATTTCTCTGTTATTAATGAGCTGTTGTTGGGTCTCTCGTGATCAGGAGATGCAGTTCTGTAGTCGGGGAAGACTGGATGGATGAGACAGTAACCTGGCTGAGATCAGAACGCGGGTGACCGCAGATTCAACGAGCCGTCAACCCAAAACGCTCTGTGAATGAAGTGTAGGAGGATGGAGAATACGATAAAGGAGAAGGCGAAGAGAAAGCACAACCCAGCTAATTATCTGCAGAGACGACTTCTCTTCGGGGCAATGTACACTATGGTCTCCCATGTTCTGGAGCACCAAATTTAAAATACACACGAAACACCCAATGTCTTTAAAGAAATGTTAGACTCACAAATAAATATCACTGTTAATATCTCGTCAGCTTCAATGTTTAAAGTCACTGGGATATTTATGCAACCAAAAAAGACTAAAAATTACTAATATTATTTCTAATTTTCAGTTTCAAGTCACACCAGATATATTAATGACGCATGTGGCCATAAATATGAAGACATTTTTGGCATGTTCATTATTATGTTTTAAAGAGAAAAATAGTTTCTCGTTGATCTTGTACGTCGTTAGTCTGCACATGCCCACCAGGTCAAGCAGAGAACATTACGCTTTTACCGAATCATCGTAATTTCAAGGTCATTTCCTTCAGACAGATGTTTTCCTGCTGTCAGTGCAATTTTTTAGAAGCTCTGACAAATTTAATAAAGACTGTACTTTTCTTTCTAATGCTAGTTAAATTTTTAATAGAAGTGATTTTTTTAAAATAATTTCTTATAATTGTTTTTGTTTTTGCTAATTACATTTTATTTCAGTGATTGACTCTAATTGGTTTTCCAGCTCTTGTCACACACGTAAATAATTGAACTGAATTTAATTATATCCTCCATGACTTGGGCCTAAGCCTTCGAGACTTTAAAATCCTATCTGATTGGTCTACGTCTCTGTAACACGCATTTGTACTCCAAGGTTCTTGGGTCTGTTATCGCCTATTATATTGAAGTAGTTACCATTTTTTGTTGTCACCTATTCTTACATTTACTGAATCGACATTTATTTAATTGCGTACGACTAAAGTTTTAATTATGTTTAATCCCTTGAATCTTCTTCATTATTAATTTCAATTGAATGTTGCCAATCCTTTCATTATTCTTAACATAAGCTTCACAACCATATAAAAGTAAAGCAAATTATTACCATTCATTTTTATTCGAGAGGTCCCGGGTTAAAATCTTGGTTCGGAGATCGATTATTCTGACTGACGTTCTTCGTGGTTATCCTCAGTTCCGTAGGCAATATTGAAATTGATAATACATATTATGTTCGTAGATTTAAGAAAACGTACTAAATAATAATAAACCTAAAAGAAAAGTTGCAAAAAGTACAAAGAAAGGGGCGAAAAACTGCTTTAGAAAATTACATAATAAAGAGCTTAATCATTTGAAGTCGAAACTTGCCTAAATAATATTTAAGAAATCAGTCCGTGCCGCAAAGAAAACACAACATTTCTCCGTTATTAAGATCAAATGGTCAATGATGTTTACGAAAATAATAGCTAGTTACAGTCAGACGTTAGGTTACGTTTCTTATAGACACTAACATTCAACTGGTAACCTCACAAGTGGAAAGTCCTGTTCTCTTAGACGATGCTCTAACGACCGAGTTATGGCGGTGTAACTTTAAAATAATTACATGCACGGTTAGTGCATAAATGTTTTAATTATATTACTAAATTACCCATCATGAACAGTTGGAAAAATGTAAAATATTAAACACATATAGTCAAGTATTATCCCATAAAGCGTAAAATCCCTTAACTTCACTACCATGGCAACGATTATAACAACACACACCTTAATAAATACCCCATAAAGCCCAAAATTCGTTAACAGCAAATGATCACGAACCAAATTCACAACACTGTCATATTATACCGAACAAAGGCATTTATCACAGTGTTCGCTGTCCTATCTTATGCCATTCAATCCATTCCAAGCCCTCTCATCCCGAACTGAGCGTGTTAAATCATCTTACATTGTTTCATATCACGAGAATCGATATTCGCAAGTGTAACCCGGTCTCGAAAAGAGTCGATGGATCGGACACATACATTTACGCTTTGAGGTTATGTATGAGGTTGTAGAGGTGTAAATTGTTTGCCACGGTTTTGATTTTGCAGCTCATGGTAACTTCGAAGGAAACTTTAGATCTGCAAATGTAAACTACTGTTGTGTGTCTGTGTGTATATACATATATTCAGAGGAAGAAAGGAGTATAATGTATAATGTCGCTTAGGAGTAGGATATCATTTGTACGATCCCAAACCGGCTACAGACTAGGGTTCCACTGTTGCACGATGGCAGCACTGTTTCTATACAAGCGAGTAAAGTGACGGTTCATGTATCTTGGAACTTCGACACAGCTAATCTCCTTCACGGCAGAAGCACACAAATCACTGATTCAATTGTTCTGTTTCTCAAACAGTGGCGGGTACCGTGAAACGAATGCAGGATTAAGAGCTTCACGGAGCAGTGGTATTTATACTCCACAGGAAAGTAGATCCTACTGGACCTACAATACGAAGACCGAGAATGTAACCTTGAAAGTTTATGTTGTCAGAATAATCACGAAACGTTTTATAACTCACCGATTTGACATACGTGTTTTTATAGGTACTCAGTTGGTCAAGAAATTCCTTTTTTAATGCAACACTAAACAAATGATGGACTACAATACAGAACATTTCTTGAACACTGCGTTAAAGAGTGACGCGGCCTAGTGGTTAGCATTCCCGCGTCGCAATCGGGAGGTCCGAATTCAAATCTCATACTGGAAGAGTAGATATTAAAGATATTTTGCGATTTTCCTCAGTCCATCCACGAAAATTCCGAGATGGTACTTTGAAATTAGTTATCATGTCTTTTATCTGCTAAAACTAGAACCCATACATGTGGTTTATCATCTACGATAGATGAACTAAGAAGAAACGGAGACAATTACACAACTTCATAGTTTAAAGTCTTTAACTAGTGACTAATAAACTTAAAACGGACAGATCATGCACTCCACTGTTGTCGAAGAATCAGAAATTAAAACAAAGTTATGTTTGGGATATCTCACGAGTAAGTTGTGATGGTGTAAACTAGATTAAAGTATCTCATTATAGGGTCAAATTATAAGATTCTGTGGTGATAATAACAGCGATTATTTTGAACAGCTAACGAGCAATATGTATAATTCACAGGGAAGATTATATAAAAGGAGTTGTAAAGCAAACTAGGTGGATTTTACCACTTCAGTTACTCGTTTTGTACACCCTAATTTTAGTTAAAACTGCAATAAAAATATATCCACTCGACAAACGAAACAATGCCCATGTTCCCTCTAATAAGACTCTTGAAGTTAATAGCGCGTCTGAATAAGACCTAATTTTAAAGCGAGGTCAATTGTGTACGTATGACCTGCTGATTTTTGAGTGGTAGTTTCAATAATACAGATTCATGCTCCAATAATGAAATTCATACACGAATGGCATTCAAAATACCTCATTTTACAAACCAACACACGATTTGGTGAAGTAAATGAGATGTAGCATCAAAGTCAATTTATATTCCTCGCCCTGATCAGACACGTTAACGCATGTAGGTCTGACCAGAAGAAATCTGCCCCAGGCAAGATTTCAGATTAACACGGCGGTGAGGATAAAGATGGCTTTCTTCTGGAATATTGCCCGTATGGTCTGGTGGATAAAGGAAGCAAGCACCTCTGAAACGTCGGTGATCTGCAAGATCACGGAAATTTAATTGTTCGTCAATGCGATAAAGATAGATTTCTGTTTGAAAACCTGCAATTTAACTTAGTAAAATACCTCAACTTCTATTATAATAATAATTTCTTTTACCGCCGATGTTGCTGCTATACTATGTCATATTTTAGGTAAAATATAATATGTAATGCACAAAGCAATCTTTATCCAGAATATATTGTATAAAGAAAATTTATTTCGTATTTACAAGACAATCACTACGAGCAGCTACTGTGGTAAATGTCATAAAAGATGTATGATCTCTCATTATTTTATTTTCATAATCTCAATTTAACATTGAAGTGCCCCATTTTCTACACTTTTTACGAAGTTTATCAAAGGGTCAGTATATTTTAAAATACGTGTTGCCACTGAGAACTTTGAACCATTTAAGACTGCATTAACACACAACTTCATAAAACGCATACTATTTCAGAAATTATGTAGTTCTATATAGATTCATTACGTAACAAAATGTGATATAACACGTAAGTAATTTCATTATTTTAAAATAGTTCATTTTTGGATAAATTTGTAGTAAGAATGGTTACGAAAAATGCACTCGTTTGATTTTGTAATAGAGGCGTACAGCCACTCAGTGTAATTACAGCAAACATTTTAAATCTGGGTTACTCAGATCGTTTTATATCGAAGTCTCAAACGCAATCGACCCCAGGCAAAACACAGTATGTAACAACAGTCAGTGTTATTTTATACTACGAGTAAAATGAATGGATACATTGCCCACCTGTAGAGAGTAACATGGCTGTTGTAACATGGGACAAAATTACACCATTAAAGGGATAAATTATTGGCCAATAAACCGTGATGGAATCCAAGACATCACGTTCACCGCATGTAGTTTTGTTTGAGACACAAAGTAAAGCCATTATGTTAGTGTTAATATCAGTAAGCATTTTACTGGCCGTAGACCGAAAACATAGTAATTTAATTTTCTACGCAATGCGCAACAGTAAATTTTAAACTTCAAAATAATTAATAGATACGGGCGAAAATTAGGAATGGAAGTACATATTACAAAATTTATGGTACAAACTGACGAAACCCAAAATGACTTTAATTCTTTAGCATTTTATTACACGTAAACCGTATATAAAAAAATCTTATGGGAATGTATTTGAAATTCTACTCTGAGGTCTTTCACGTGCATACAGACGTTTCCAAAAAATACAAAATTAACAACTACAGCTTAAAAGTTACTTGTATATTTCTCTGCATAATTTACGTTGTAAATATCAGTGACAGGCAAATGTCAGAAATAACCTCAAAGAATCCCACTGTCCCAGCTTTGTAACATGTTAGAATTTAAATAAATATCCCACAGTTGCGTATAATGTTCTCGATTTATGCAAAAGAACAAATGTTCTACAGCGCTGTTTGGTTAACTAGTGAACTTTATAAAAATACGTCAAGACAGGGTCACTACAAATAAGATTCGGTACAGTTGCCTCTAATGATGACTAGTGTCAGATTTCTGCATACATTTACTAAGATATCCCCTACCTTGACATTTTTCGACAAAATTTGCGTAGACATTTCCTGATACGTGTGCTATATGCCCAATTCACGTAATCTTTACTGATTTAATCTCAATAAAAACAGATGCAGAAACAGTAAACAATACACAGAAATATAAAATATAAAACTATAAACAACACAAATATTAGAACAAAACATAACATAAAATTGTTTCCATAGGCAATTAATACTATTTTATTTTAAAGTTCAGAGCAGTCATACAGAAACTAAAATAATTCTGGGAGTGGTGGAAATTAATTTCTGCTTCTTTGAACTCAAACTTGTTAATTTTTTAACATTCAGAATTAAAAACTACTTAATGAAAAAAAACTTTAATAATTTCCCGTGGGGAATTACGGAGCCGAAATACACGACTG